CCCCTTCCTCTTCCTGAGGTCGTCCTCGGAGCCGCAGGCCCTCCGCATGGCCGGCGCTCCGGGGACAACCTCCCGCCGCAGCAACCGCATGCGCTGCGGCGGATAAGTCAGGGAAAGTGCACCCTACGCGTTTAGGGCGCACTTTCCCTGACTTATGAAAGGAGCGCTGATTTAGCGCTCCTTTCAGAGGCACCGACGGTGTGCCGCAGTGTGGCTGCGTCGCTCCAGCGGCGCACCGTCCCGCGGCGTCCTCGGCGCCGCCGTCTGCTTCCCCCCTTAGTCCACTTTAAGGGTTAGGGTTAGTGCTAGGGAATCAAGGGAATTGTTCTCTTTCAGAAGAAGTGCCGCAATAAAATACAGTTCCCATGATTCCCTAACTCTTAAAGTGGACTCAATTTGCACTATTTCTGGCAGTCTGCAAAGACCTTTTGTTATATATGAGTAAAATATATCATTGAATAGTATGATGTAGTATAGTATAGTATACATTTCTGCTAATGTTAAACATTTGCTGCCAGAGATACCTAGCCTCCTTCCCAGTACCAGAAGTAATCCCAGTTTTGTGCTGACCTATTGAATCAAAAGCTGAATGCTTAAATCAGCACTTGTGTGAATCCCAATAACCCATTTTAATGGGTCTATTATAGCTGGAACTAGCAATTGGATTTAGGCCAAATAATTTAGATTTTTTTTCTCCCCCACCCCTATTTTTTTATTTTCTTGTTATAAGCTGTTTGACATTTAAGCATGGTCAAGACATTAATACATTTAGAGGTGCTATAATTATAAACAAAACTAATGCTCCCCGACTTTCTCTCTTTCTGTTTCAGTCTCTGTATTATATGTAATAAACTTTCCAGTAATTTTCTTTGCCACCATATGGTTTGAAATAGGAATTCAAATATGAAGATGCTCTGGATAATACTAGCATTTATTACAACTTTGTGGGCAAAATCCAAATGCACATGTGTTTTCCATAAAATACTGTTTGGAATTGAAATGCATCACACTCTGCTTCATGCTCCAAGAGTTTTGTCTCTGTGTTTGAGCTTATGTTTTAAAAATATCATAGCATAGGTGTTGCATTATTGTTGCTGTTGTTCCTGCTGTCTTATTGATAGATTTATTATCACTACAGGTTCCCATAGGCTTAGCAGCTTTAGGATTCTGCCACCACCACCACCACTGTCATTATTTCTCCCTTTATTTATATGCCACCCTTTCCCAGCAATTGGGACTTACGAAGTAAAATTAAAACATTAAAAATTATTGTTATGAAAATATAATTAAACCAGCATTCAGTTTTTAAAATATAGATAAAAATAATAAAAAGCAAATAAAGCTACAGCAATTCATTAAATCCCCTCTATAAAACCAGTCAATTCCTGAAAGTCTGTCCAAAAATAGAATAAAAGAAAATAAAATTTATAAGAAGCTACTATTCTAGAGAGCCCTTGTGGTGTGGTTTGAGCATTGGACTATGACCCCGGGGTTTGAATCCCTGCTTGGCCATAGAAATCCACTGGGTGCCGTTGGGCAAGTCACACACTCTCGGCCTGAGAGGAAGGCATAAGCAAACACACTATGAACAAATATGGCTTAGAAAATCCCACGATAGAATTACCTTAGGGTTGCCATAAGTCAGAAATGGCTTGAAGGCACATAATAACAAGGAGCTACCATTCTAGTTGCACTAGGAAGAACTTCCAGGGCCAGCAGTCACTGAGAAGACCCTGAAGACTTATCTTACATCAGACCCAAGATGTGAGTTGTTCAGGCCTGTATTCACAAAAAGAGCTCCTCCAAGAGCGTTGTCAGATCCCCAGCTTTCACGTCCCCTCCAACTGTCCCAATTTGACCGAGACAGTCCCAGTTAATCCTCTGTCATCCCACTTTTTATGCAGACATTTTATGCAAATGTCCCAGTTTCTCTCTCTTCCTCCCACTGTACCGCCTTATCCCCAGTTTACTTAAGCTGTTCTAAACTGAGTTCAAAGTGCAAATGTTGTTTGCACTCAGTTAATTTAGGGGAAGAGGGGAGCAGGGGTTGGATTCTTGCCCTCCCCAGTAGACTCAGGAAAAAACAAACTGCTGCAGCATTTCCCAGCCTGTCTGTACTTCCTCATTAGTAACTTTTGCCATCTTGAACACATTTGGGTGTTACTTGGCCACCTGTGTCCTGGTTTTCATCCGTGAATTGGTGGAGGGTGTGCTTCACCAAATTCCTCTCTTCTTACTCAGTAAGAATTAAAATTGTTTTAGCCTTCTGGTGTTCTGGCCAACAAATGCAAAGACAGTAGGAGCACTGAGAAGCACTAAGCACTTATTTTTTTAATGTAATTTTATTATAGTTTATAGAATTATAGAACTCAAATGTAGTTATAGAATTATAGAATCTAAATGCAGCTGGCCATTCTGCAGTGTTGCCATCCATACTGAGCTCTTGGTTTTGTGTTAGGTTAAAAGAAACCATTCTAAAATGTTTGTCTATATAGAGTTGGAATTGTTTTAGAACTACTGCACCAATATATATATATAGGAGTTCAGGGTGGTCTCACTGTCAAGCAATGCTATTCAGATTCCAAGGGAACATAAAGATGCAATGTGACTTGTCGCCATTGAAATGCAAATCATTTTAGGGCAAATGAATCAATGCTTTTATGCGGCAAGGGTAAATGTCAGTTTTGTGATTTTCAAGGTAAGGTGTCTACCCCATGCAGACTGTAAAGCTAGGTCCTGTGTGACAAAAAACAGTGCCTTTCTGTACAGCAAAAATTGTTTCTAGATGTTGCATTCCCTTATTAAAGCTCATATTGCGAGGATAGCTTTTTGCCCATGGCATTTGTTTTTTAAGAGTTTGCAGCTGTCTTGTGTCAACAGCTCTCATTTTTGTTATAAAACAAAATCCAGTCAGACAGTACCCCTATTAGGACCAACTACAATTGCACAATAGTTTACAAGCTTTTTAAAGTTCTCTAAAACTTTCTTTTTATCAGGCTAGGTGCCCCCTCCCAAGAAAAGGAGGAGGAAGAAGACATATGGAGATCCAAAATGTGCCCATGAAGTCCAGCCAACCAGCTAGGCAGCCAGCAACCAATCCAGTTTTATTTATATCCTACCTTTCCCCAGACTGGGACTCAAGGTGGTTTGTCAAAGAAAAAATTACACTAAAAACACATATAGGGCTGATTGATGGATTGATTGATTGATTACGGCTCATAGCCAGCATAGAGCTTATTCAGACAAGAAAAAAGTCCCTGGAAATAATGAGACTTCCCAGTTCCGATTTTACCTGTATATTCATGGTTTTGCGCCCAAACTCTTTCTTGAAATATCTCGACTTTCCCTTATTCTCCCTCCCTTGTGTTATTCTTCCTCTCCCTCCCAGTGATCATGTGCCACATCTAGACTCAGGCACCATTTCAGAAATTTTAGAAATTTCCACCAAAGGTATATCCACACTACAGAAATAAAGTTGCATGACTGCCATGACTCTGTCCTACAGAATCTTGGGATTTGCCCTTTGGTGAGGCACCAGAGTTCTCTGACGGAACAAAAAGATTACTTCACCTACACTACAGATCCCAGGATTCCACAAGATGGAGCCATGGCAGTTAAAGAGGTGTCTGCTGCTTTATTTCTGCAGCCAGAGATGAGAAGCTTCCTATTGTCAAGTGGGAGGATAATCAATTGTGGAGTGTTGGCCATTGGTTTGTTAGTGCAATTGGGAGCAGTTCAGCAGCAAGATACCTGCTCCTGTCTATTAAACCTTAGGTTTCCTGTGGATCTCTCTTGTTGTATTGTGCAAATTTGCTCACTGAATCAGGTGATTGGCCACCTAACTCACTTTATATTGGGGTGGGCAAAATGCTGTCTGCAGAAAACACAGCCCTCCATCGGTCTTTGAGCCATTCAATTAGGATTGTCAGGTTTACAAAATAGCAGTAAGGGACAGTCAAAATTTGTGACATACAGGGTTGGCATTTGGAAATGACATTAATAAAATTGATGGTGATGATTTTTAAAATTTATTTCCTGCCTTAGGATCAGGTTGCTTATCACTTTCCAAAGTAGGTTTTACTCCATGTATTATCTGCTGCCTCTGTTAATCTTGCCTGGCAATTGGCAAGTCAGTGGTATATCAACGTGGGGGGGGGGGGGGGGAAATGACCCTAAAAACCCAATTCAGAAACCTTGCAACCTTATTGTCAGCCACTACAAGCCTTGCTAGTACGTGTGAGGCAGGTCTATATAAGGCTCTCCTCAAGTTTTGCAAGAGGAGGGTCTCAGGGGTCTAAAATACATTGCAGAAATAAATCAGTTTGAGGCTGCTTTAACTGCCTTGGCACAATGCTAGGGAATTTTGGGAATTGTAGTTTTGTGAGAACATTTAGCCATTTTTGTCAGAGAGCTGCGGTGCCACAATAAACTGCAATTCTCAGGATTCCCTAGCACTGAGTGAGAACAGTTAAAGCAGCCTCAAACTGGATAATTTCTGCAGTGTGTTTTGGACCACTGTCTCTTGTAAGAATTCTGGGCTCCTCTGAGATTGCAAATTCTGCAGAAAACCCCCTGGAAATATTGTAATGCCTGGCCAGCAGCCATTGTGAGGGGAGGAATTTTACTTCTGCCAGGCTAAGAGTTTTGTATAATTTTCTGTATACTTTGAGATAATTTGACATATTGGCCCTGGACCTGAAAATACAAGACTTCTGTGTCCTATTTAATGCTCATACGGAATAAGCTTTAATAAGAGATATACTTTACAATCAGGGACATTTAGTAATCCTATATTGGACAAACTTTCCAGCCTTTAAATAAAAACATCCTTTACCCAGGACATCTGGCAACCTTAGTACTCTGCCAAGTCTCACCCCATGCCTCTCCATCAAAACAATTTTTAAACAAAGATGAAATGTGCTGCTCTTGGAAGCATCCATGAATGCAATTTTTACATAAATTATGTAGATTTATGGAGGAGAACACTCCACTAGTGTGGAGCCAGCATGGTGTAGTGGTTTCATGTAGGACTACAGCTCTGGAAGCCAGGGTTCGATTCCCAGCTTGGCCATGAAACCCACTGGATGGATGTCCTTGGTCAAGTCATATGCTCTCAGCCTCAAGAAGGCAATTGCAAACATCCTCTGAACAAATCTTGCAAGAAAAATCCGTTGAAACAGCCTTGCATTAGGGTTGCCATAAGGTGGTTCACAAGACACACTCCACCAAAACCTGAAGTGACTGTTTGGACCCTTCTGTTTTGTATCAAAATAATAATAATTGTACACTTTTGTTGTCATTTCATGCCTGGTATGGCATGTGGTAGGTACCACCTTCCCAAATATGTCCTTCTCTGGTCTATATACTCACAGCACTTCGCTGGGGCTTTTGACAGGATTTATCAAGATTTATTTGGGATGGGCTTTATCCCAAATTAGAGGAAAACTGTGTAGCTCTGTAAGTGATTTAAACCATATAAAGCCTTCTTTGCAAAGCTATGCAATTGTTTTCCATTCTTCCCACTGCAGAAAAACAAGAAAAATAACAACAATAAAAGAAAGTATCTCATCTGTTTTTAGCATGCCCAACTGAAATTAGAAGAAAGAAGCAGGCAGCATGAGCTCATGCTGCTAACTTCTTTCTTTCAGTTAGTCTCAGAAGTGCTACAAGATCTCTCTACATACTGATTCTACAGACTAACATGGCTATATTTTTGAAATTAGAAGATTACTGAAGGGAATTTGTTTGTTTATTTGTACTAGTTCTTTCACTCCGCCTATTGGTGACTCATTAGATCTTGCAACAGTGGCCAAATTGAACTGTATATATTGGTTCTGACAAGAATGGACAAACTTTTCAAAGAATCCCTCTTAGCAGGTGCAATGAAAGGATGTTTCGGCAGAATCCATTATTGATAGAAGGAACAATTGCCCTCTCCCTAGGTTTGCTGAAAAGTCTTAACTGGTTAACACATTCTCTCTCCTTGTAGGTGAGAATTTTCTGCAGTCTTTCCACAGAACAAATTGAAAAAATTGCTCCAAAGCATACTGGCTTATCCATCACTCCCCTTATTTTCCTTCACACTTGACAAATACTCAATCTTCTCAGAAATTTAGAGCTTGGAAAAATTACTTATGTGGATTATAACTCCAAGATTCTTCGGCCATGGTGGCTGGAGGATAGTCCAAATAAGTCACTTTCCTGAGGTCTGTAAGAATTATGTTTAACTGCTACTTTAAATAAGAAAATTAATATTCCCATTGCCCTTTTTTAAAATACCAGCTTGCTAAAACTGGTAAATTATATTGGGAGGGGTAATTATTAACAGTAATTCTGTGCAGGTGTTCAGCCAGATAGATGAAGAGCTAGACATGGAGGATTGTGTTGGGGTGGGACTTACATGCATACGTGTGTCCCCCAATAACATTTTTACTTTGCGGGTCAAGAGGTTGAATGCATGGGGGATTAAAATGCTATCAAAACTAGGAAAGTATCTGCAATCAAGATGGGCATAGGGTAGATCAAGATAGCTGTGTGCCTTCTAAAATGTGAACAGATATGGGGAGACAGATGTTGGCAGTTATCAATTAGCAGCTTCTTTGGGGTGCATTGATTTTAAAAAAGATATCAAAAGTTACTCTTCAATATCATTGTCTTTTTTGTCTTGAATGCATGAATGCAACTCTGCTACCATTAACCATTAAGTATTTCAGTGTATAGAGGAGCAAGGGCGGGGGAAGAAAAAAAGGGAATATGCCAGCACCTTTAAGTAGTCTTTCTAAAAATAGTTTTTATTTTAGCACGAGCTTTTGTGGATAAAAAAATATTTTTTTCAGCTGCAGTAGAGAGTGATATTACAGCCTCAGGTTATAAATAAATGTTATACCATTGTGGGAATGGGGTAGAACATAATAGGATCCAGAAATATGCAAATCATGTCCCTTGCCCTAAATTTTCAAGGGGATGGGTATTTCAGAGTTTTACAGTGTTCAGTTAGTGTTGATATGTGAAAGTAATAAATCTGCTTATGAAAGCTCTCTCTGAGAAGATTCCTTATGTTTTATGTGCACTAGCTAGAACTCCTGTATTAATATATGTAGTGTGGCATGAAGCCATTACGTTCACACCTCTGCTAATGGGTTGGAATTTGTGAATATAAGTCAATTCAGCTGTTTCTCTTGCTAGTGTTCCTTTGTATTTTCCTTGTTCAAGGACTGTGACTTGTAAATCCCTTACTGTATGTCCAGGAGGGCCGAAATGTTCTGCAACTGTTTTTTTTAAAATATATATTGCCATTGTAATGTCAGATTTGTGTCCATGTATTGCTCAGAGACTGCCCTGTTTGTCCAATGTACAGTGTAGAGGGGCATAGGCTAGCATAGGACGACATATATCACACTGGAGGAATAGCAACTAAATACACCTTTGGTGTTGTGAGTAATGTTATTGGCCCCTGTAATATTGCTTCTCAGTAGAAGTGAGTAGAGCTGGCATCTGGGTTTGTGGTAGGGTCTTGTCGCTGTTAGTGTGTGTATTTTTGTGTGTGCAGGTTAATATTTGAGAAAATGAATCCATTGGGTTTTGTGATTTTAACATGCCAGTGTTTATTGGACTGTTACCTGAGAGAACATCATATAATGTGGAATGTTATTACAGTATTCAACTTTTCTGTTTTTTACAGTGATCTCCTGTCTTCAGAATATCTTGAGAGGCACATTGAACATGATGGGAAAATGGTTGAAGTTAAAGTAAGTGTTTTCTCATTGACACACACACACATACACACTTTTTATAAAGTCACTTTGCTGTATGAAATTCAAATGTACTGATTTTTCTGCAAGCAGTGCTGCTTTTAAGGACCATAGATTGGCCACTGAGTTACTTAGAACAACTATGTTATGTTGAATTTCCTAAAGTTGTTTTTTGGATTACAGTGGGCCCTTGCTATCTGCTGGGGTTTGGTTCCAGGACCCCCTGTGGATACCAAAATCCATGTATGCTTAAGTCCCATTAAATACAGTGGCATAGGAGAATGATATCCCTTATATAAAATGGCAAAATCATGATTTGGTTTTTTGAATTTACATTCTTTTTGAATATTTACAAATTGTGGATGGTTGAATCCATGGATAAAGACTCTGTGGGTACGGAGAGCCAATTGTATCACATATGGGGCAATGCTGCATCTCCCTACCCAGCAGCTTTTTTTGCTGACCCACTGCTCTCCCAGAGCTTTGTCTTCTCTTCCAAGAGCTTCAGTGAGGAGTTCTGTTGCTTAGTTTGTTCTAATCTAGCATTGAGATTAGGGTTCTGTGCTTCAGATTTTCATTTTAGTAATAATTTTTGAGGAGGCAGTGTGGTGTAGTGATTTGAGTGTTGGAATACAACTCTGGAGACTAGGGTTTGAATCTCTGCTTGGCCATGGCAACCCAATTGGAGATCTTGGGCAAGTCATGCTCTCTCATCCTCAGAGGAAGGCAAAGGTAAACCCTCTCTAAGTAAATCTTGTCAAGAAAACCCCATAATAGGTTTGACTAAGGGTCATCATAAGTCAGAAATGACTTGAAGGCACACAACAGCACAGTCATTTTTGACAGTTCACATGGCTGGCATGATGCAAGAATGCTTTAGTTTCATTGATAATAGTTGAGTAATTTGTCGCTATAAACCAGTGGGATAGCTCGAAAATTAGGTAATGGGGGATTAAAGGTGCAGCTTCAGTGATGATCTACCTGTCTACCATATGTATTTGGAATTATGATGTGGTTGTTCAAGTGGAAAAGTCTACTACAGTTTTAGGTTGTTCCTGATAGGAGGAGAAATGGAGAAGAAACATATACTAGGACTAAGTGTACTTCTGACTTGTGAGGTTAACTTTGTTTTTGTTTTTGTTCACAAAACACAAAAAGGGAAACACAAAGAGACTGCAGCAACTATAGGACCATAGCATTGATCTCCCATGCAAGCAAAATCATGCTCAAAATTCTGCAACATAGATTCCAATCATACATGGAGAGAGAAATGCTAGAGGTCCAAGGGGTGTTCAGGAAAGGAAGAGGCATGAGGGACCACATTGCAAGCATACAATGGCTAATGGAGTGCACAAGGGAATTCCAAAAGAAAATCAGTGTTTGCTTTATAGACTGTAGCAAAGCCTTTGACTGCATAGACCATGAAAGGCTATGGAATGTCCTTAAAGACATGGAAGTGCTGAGTCCTGATGAGGAATCTGTACTCAGGACAAGAGGCTACTGGCAGAACAGAACATGGTTCCCAGTTGGCAAAGGGGTCAGACAAGGCTGTATCCTTTCACCCTATCTGTTCAACTTGTATGCAGAACATATTATAAGAAAAGCAAGCTTAGACACAGAAGAAGGAGGAGTGAAAATAGGAGGAAGGAATATCAACAATCTAAGATATGCAGATGACACCATAGTGCCTACTAAGGAAGATCAAAGAAGAAAGTGCAAAGGCAAGCTTTAATGTTGAACATAAAGAAAACAAAAATAATGACCACCGAGGACCTTCATAGGTTCAACCTAGACAATGAAGAAATAGAGATAGTAAAAGAATTCCCATACTCCATTGATAGAAATGGGGACTGCAGTCAGGAAACAGAAGAAGATTAAGAATGGGGAGGGTGGCTATGAAAGAACTAGAAAAGATTCTAAAATGCAAAGATATACAACTCAGCACAAAAGTTAGAATCATACAAGCCATTATATTCCCTATTACCATGTATGGATATGGGAGCTGGAAGTTAAGAAAGATAATTGGAAGAAAATCAACTCCTTTGAGATGTGGTGCTGGAGAAGAGTGCTGAGGATCCCATGGACAGCCAAAAGGACAAATAAATGGGTCCTAGAGCAGATCAAGCCAGAAACCTCCTTGGAAGCAAAGATGACCAAACTGAGGCTGTTGTGCTTCAGACACATCATGAGAAGAGAGGATTCATTGGAAAAGACAATAATGCTGGGGAAGGTGGAAGGAAGTAGGAAGAAAGGAAAGCCACATGCCAAATGGACAGACGGACTCTATTAAGGAGGTCAGTGGTATGGTATTGCAGGAAT